AGTCCAATTTCATTGGCAGCAGAGATATCAAAATTAAAGCGTTACAAATTTGCACAAACTTAGCATCACTAGGCATTAGTTTACCCTAAATGGAAGTAAAAAGTGTGACAAAAAATATTTTACGAGGTATAAAACTTACTATTGGATTGGACATTCCTGGATTGCACACATGCTACCTAGTGAACTTTAGATAAAACAATATTTGTCATTGGAATTTTAAATAAAACATCTGTCTTGTGCTTTGATTCCATGTAGTTGACCATGTATGGATATCAATGTGTATGAGATAATTTGATTCCAGAATAACAATCTAATATTATGCTACATGCCAATATAAGACAATAGCATTATTCCTGTTGAGTGCAAGACATAATAAAAAGCTGACAAAGGCCATTGTATCTTACTTTAATAATCTTTACAGTTTGTAGAACAAAGGGCATTAAACATATAATGAGCCTTATTTTTCCAAGTAAATTAACATGCCTGCATAAAACCTTAATTCATTGTATATGGGTATGTGACTGCATGATTAAGAACAGAAAAATTCCAATTTAAAGAAAAGTAATAAAAAAAAAGCAATTAAATTGTTTGCAGCATGTCAGCCCATGACAGGCCTATAACAGAACATAGAGCAGGATTACAAATTATGTACTGGCAGGGGGGGGTGATCAGCCTCTACGCTTGGGACCCACCGCAAAACAAATCAAAGGAGTAATAGGAGCACACTTTTATAAAACATGAAAGGATTTGTATTAAGAAATTAGTAGCTTTATTGTATATTGACAGGTCATCCATTAGCACTCATCATCCAATGTTCTTGATTTACACGACTGCTTGAAAGAGACACGTTATTTACTTTTGAAGTAGTATTGACACTATTTACTGAATAATGTAAAAACACATCACACTCAAATGAGCTGACACCCAAGAGAGATTTCTTTATCCTCGAAGGCTTATTGAACATTGAACAAATTACAGTGTCATCATTGTAAGCTCTGAATGAGAATCCAAAGTGTATTTCTATCTAAATGCTTTACTAAACTTCATAGCATCATGAAAGGTTCTCTATTCCTCTGTGGTGACCTCAATTGCACATATGACTCTGAATGGGATACTCAACAATGACCCCCCACTACAGCTGCGTGAAGACTCGGTCATCAATTCTCAGAATTTCTCAGAATTTCTACACTGTTATGAGCTCCATGATACATGGACAGAGTTCTTTCCAAAAACACATTTTACCTACTCATCACAGGCACATCAGAAATATTGAAGGATTGATCTTTGTGTGGTCAGTACTACAGCCTTGAAAACTTTAAATCATACCAATATTGGCCTTAATACATAGTGAGACAATGCTCCCACACTTCCTAACTTTTACCTCACATTATCCAGTTAAAGGACAGGGGGCTCTATCTCATCAAACATCTTCTCTCTATAACTCCATAGTTGACACAATCTCAGAAGCCCTTATCCAAAACTCGCTGCCCATAAGGCAGTTATTTGGGGACATTTATACAGGAAGGTTCCATTTATAAGAATAAGCTAAACAAGTCTCAATCCTTTTTACCCAGCCCCTCCAAATACTTGAAAACCAGAATCATAAATACACAATTATCAGTGAAGATTACTAATACTAAAATCCAACTCAAAAGTTTTATCTAACTCGGGGTGGAGCCTGACACTCAACATGGCAGGACACATTTTCAGATAACTCCGGCTCTTCCGGCCTGAAATTGGGGCTATATAGCCTGAAAGCGACTAGGAATGTATCCTGGTACAGCTGCAGACCAACACTCCGACCACTGGTACCATTCTATGCCTGGAGTGTCACGGTCTGATGAGCACTCACCTTGGCTGAGAACTGCGGCCTAGCGTGCCCGGCAATTGGGGGAAGCGGGCGATCGCCCAGCCCAGAGAGCACACCTGGCAGAAAACTTACCGCAACCCCGTCACCCCCCCTTTGGACCGGTGGGGGTTATCTCGGTCCCCACCGGTGGGCTGACTCGCACATGATCAAGTGGACAAACCACAAACACAGGCCTTCTAAACTGCGGCTTATTCAATATGGCGGAGGAAGCATGGCTCCCATATTCAAACAGTGATTCCAGTGACATACTCACTCGGCTGGACAGACACTTGCAAAATTTCTGGCAGCAACTTGAGCGCAGGCTCCATCCACCCACACTGCCACAGACACGTAATCGCCCTCTACCAAAGCTCGCAACTCCACGAGCAGCAGGGGCACCCAAGTGGCGACAGAGAGGGGGGGGGGACTCCACCCAAGAGCGGGACAGCATGGACACGCACCCTGAGGCTACCCAGGTCTTCTCCCTGTAAGGAAGCCGGACGGCAATCGGAGGATAAACTGCAACCACAAGCACTGCTAACTAAACTGGGGAAGGAGGGAAAACCCCCTCAGAAACACTCGAAACCACAAGTGGCTCCCTCCCATGCTACAAGCCTACCTGGGCAGAGAGCTCCAAGAGCTACTGCTTCACTGCATCACCTATGCAAGTACAACCACAAACAGCGTAGGACACTACTTGGTTCCACCAACTGCCCCCGGATGGGGACAAACCCGGCACCGACATGTCCCCAGGTCTGTGGCCTACAAATGCCAGCTCACATACACATGGGGCTGGAGGGGGCACCTGACCCAGCAACAAGGCACATCCTTTGCTGTCCTGCAGACCCTCTGCACAAACCAGCTGCACTCTTTCAGACTGGGTATAGGCTTGAGCGCAGGCTCAAGCCGTCCACCTGCACCGCCACAGACACATAATCGCCCTCTACCAAAGCCTGCAACTCCATGAGCAACAGGGGCACCAAGTGGCGATGGGTCAGCATGATTTCTAAGAGGCATACCCACATGCAGCCACTGCACCCTGGACACCATCTGCCTCATTTGGCGATTACTAGCTTTAGCCTTTATACATACTGCTGGCTTGTGTGGGTGATCTTACTACAGAGAGAAGCAGTATTACCTATCTTTTTATATTGCCCAATTGTACAGATATAGCTATGCCTGCTAATTACATGTCACTGCTTAATTTGATATCTGCGCCAGAAATACCAGCCCAGGCTACCAACATGTTTGCTAATGCAAAAAATAACATTTTAATGTGTTAAAAGTTTTATCTAACTCAAACAGAAAGAGGATTACAGACACCAAAACAAACTCACTATGTACAAGGCAGTTGGATTAGAAAACCTTTAGCTGCAAAACTGAAAGCTAAACAGGTGCAGTCAGCAGTGCCATGGTACATGACCCAAATGGTGTTAAAACAGCTAACCCTACAAAGCTAGCAAACATCTTTGCAGACTTTTACAAGCAACTTTATAACTTGTCAGCAGAGCCCAAAACTCTCAACCCAATTACCCAATAAATCACACGCTACCTAGCTGAGGCTACATATCCCACACTCTCCAAGAACCAGACGTTAGAGTTATGTCATCCATTCACTGAGGAGGAGATCCTCACCACAATCAAATTTCTTTCTAGCAGTAAATCCCCAGGCCCACATGGATTTTCTAATGCGCATTATAAACAACTCTGCTATATTCTCCCACATCACCTCACTTTCCATTTCAAAAACACTGGAACTTTCCATTTCAAAAACACTGGAACAGTCCAAAGGGAAATGTGGTTAGACAATATTATTACACTTCCTAAACCAGGTAAACAATCTACTTCTAATTTTCATCCAATTTCACTATTAAATGCTGACTATAATTATATGCCAAATCATTAGCCTCACAATTTAACTATTTGCCTCATATGCACTTTGCACTTGTACACTTTATGCACTCTTCATTTTAGGTTTCTTCTGATGTTTACTGCTTCTATTTAGTTATATTTCAAGAGAGAGATGGTGCTATATTAAGTTGTCAGCAACTTACTACTACAGCCCAGGTAATATACTTTACTAATGTTTCTTCTATCATGTCTTTGTGAACATTGGGGACATATACAACTTTAACCTATTACGTTAATGTTTCTCTTCATAAGAGTAGTTAAGTACTGATTGTTCTAGATGGAATTCAATCATTAAGCTATATTTAAGAAGTTTTATTTTTATCTGTATTTTGAACCGGGATATATTTTTTTATGCTTCAATACAATCACCCTTATTCTCCCTTATAACTATAACTTTGTAGCTTTTTCACACGTGATATATTAAGAGACAGATGGAACCACTTAGGCAACTTTGTATTAAAGCCTGATGCTTGGTAAAATTTCTTAAGGCTATCAAGTCTTTGTAAATTTATGCAGGATTTTGGTTACACTTTAAGTCACTGTCAGGTTCCTATCCTGACAAGCAAGACTTTTTCCGTTTGATCCTGTTCCTTTAAATCCAGTACCTGTCTCTCGCCTCTAGTGACCTCCCTAGCCACTAGTAACCTCAGACTCTCACCTGCATAGCATTAAACAAGTTCTGCTATAGAAGGCCACACCTGACAAACCAAGTGGCCTTTACATTGTTGATGTTCATACTGAAACGACTTCAGATCCTGGCTCCTGAAACAACATTTGACTTACCTTTATTGCTTCCAACCTGATTTGCTAGAAACCCTGCTTCTTACCAACTTGGATTGCTTACAACCCTTCATTATCCTGGCAACCTGGTTTACTTCCAACCCTGATTCTTACCAACTTGGATCTCCTACAACTCTGCTTTATCCTGCCAACCTGGTTTACTTCCAACCCTGATTCTTACCACCTTGGATCTCCTACAACTCTGCTTTATCCTGCCAACCTGGTTTACTTCCAACCCTGCTCCATACCAACCTGGATTACTTACAACTCTGCCTTGCCCTGCCTACCTGATTAATACAAACCTGCATAACCTCTATCTGAACAT